TTCAGATTGGACATTAGGAAAAAGTTCTTCACTGAGAGGGTGGTCAGTCACTGGAACAGGCTCCCCAGGGAAGTGGTCACAGCACCAAGCCTGTCAGAGTTCAAGGAGCGCCTGGATGATGCTCTTAGTCATGTGGTTTAGCGTTAGGTAGTCCTGCGAGGAGCAGGGAGTTGGACTCAGTGATCCTTATGGGTCCCTTCCAACTTGAGATATTCTATGATTTGCAACACTCACCACTCCGATATCCCAAGGCTACAGCCAAATCCATGGAATTATAGCCAGCATCTGTTTCAATAGTTGGATCAGCACCACTTTCTGTGTAAAATAGGAAAGGAAACAAACTCAACTTTCTGACCTTATGATCTGATCTTATATCATTACTGATAATTCCGTTTGGACAGTCTGCTTACCAAGAAGAATTTTTACACATTTCACATGGTTCCCATGCACTGCATATAGTAGAGGTGTGCCTCCATTCTGCAAAAGCAGGGAAAAGCCTTAGATGCTTAATGATTGAGTAGTCTGCAATTGTAATTCCTTAACACACCAGTATACTTCTATGTATCAGTAAGAGACTTCACAGGTTTTATAAAAATCAGGTTCTCAGTTTTGGTTCTTCACAACTTCCATCTTTTTTTGTCTACTGTTTAGACTGTAAGCTCACCTTTCTAATAAGGGCTCAGCATTACTCTCTCTTTTTAACCAAGAAGTCAGAACTAGTAGGGCCAATTTCTCTCATGCTGTCAAAGAGCATCCTATGCAAATTTTGAAAATCTCAGATATTTCAGAAGTAGAACAATTTTCAAACCCAAGCCAGTGCTGTGCCATTTCAAATTTCTGACCAAAGCACACTCTGATGTAAATTCAAGCTAGAGGCTTACCCAGTCATACTCATTGACATCAGCTCCACAGTCGAGCAGCATTTTGACAATATCTGTGTATCCTTTACTGCAAGCCAGCGAGAGGGCACTTTCACGCCCTTTCCCCAAAATCTGAGGATCTGCACCCTGAAATAATAATAATAAAAAAAATCAAACGAACCACACTTTTATAGTGAGGTTTTATACAGAACTTAACTTTAAAACTTTTAAATGTATAGCAGCATTGACAAACTTAGGAAGGCAAAATGAACTAAAAAGTAAATCAAGACATTTAAAAAGAAGCATGGACTTTTCCTTACATTCTGGAGGAGAAATTCCACTATTGCTATCATCCCATGAGCTGCAGCCCACATCAAAGGAGTAAATCCTTCTTCATCCTTATGACTGATTACATTTTCTGTTTAAAGAAATATATACAATTTAGTAATCCCTTTCACTGATGCACTGTATGAGCTGGTAAAATGCATTGACATATCTGATTGACTGATGTACTAGTACCTAAAAGTCATTCTCATCTTAACTTTAAAAACAAAATTCTACCCTAGTGGTGGTACAAATATCCTTGTCCAAGAAAAAAATTAAAAAAAATCCAACTGACCAAAGTAAAATTTCGGGGTTTGGTGTTATGTTTTTTTTAAACTCTATAAATCAAGCTCTGTTTTTACTCAGAAATGTTACAAGTTGTCTGTAATCTGGGCTTGATCTTTGGAAAGAAGAGAAGGGCTGCTTTAAAAATAAAGAAATATATTCTGTATTATACTGTAGAAAGTGCTTTTTTCAACAGAGTGAGCCACACAATCTTGTAAAGAATTAGCTTGTAAACCAATATAGATAGTATATACTCCATTCACCCCAAAGTTCATGTAATCAATATAGTGTTTTGTGGAAACAATTAAGGTCTACTTTTAGTGCAGCTGGAAGAAGGAAAAATAATTTTCTTTTTAACAAGTGGCTGACTGAAATAGTTGAGTTAGAATTAATTTTTTTATATCTAAATATTTAAAAAAAACCCATGCTTATCATAGCACCATAATAAGCATTTTTAGCTGTCACTGACATTTCAGGATCGATTTGCTTTCCATATACACAACTCATTACAAAGTATATAGACTCGGCTACTCATTACCTGCTTTCCAGTAAACATTTCAACAAAGATGCACTGAAAGCAAGGCTGATTACTAATAGTACAATAAGAATATACTATTAACAGTACTCAGCTCAATATGTTATGCAGAGTTGAAAATTTGTATATGTATTACGGACACACAACTGTCACAATGAAGAATATCACACAACTCAGAATGAGTAGCACTGTTATACTGCAGGTGTGATCCATGGCTTAAATTATTACCAACATATAGCTCTATACGTTGATTGATGAAATAGAATTGGAAAGGCACCATTAATAGGAACGTGTTTTAAATTATAAAGATAATAAAAAAAAAAAGTAGTTTAACTCTTCTGATAGAACTAACAGATTCTCCTCCCTCATTTCCATGGGTTATCTGTATAGCTGGGTGTTGTGGTTTAACGCATCAGGCAGCTAAACACCACACAGCCATTCACTCACTCCCCCCCACCTCAGTGGGATGGGGGAGAGAATCGGGGAAAAAAAAAAAGTAAAATTCATGGGTTGAGATAAAGGCAGTTTAATAGGACAGAAAAGGAAGGGAAAATAAAATAATAATAATAATAATGATGATGATGATGATAAAAATAAACAAACCAAGCGATGCACAATGCAATTGCTCACCACCCGCCGACCGATGCCCAGCCAGTTCCTGAGCAGCGGTTGCCGCCCCCCAGACAACTCCCCCCAGCTTATATACTGAGCATGACCTCATATGGTATGGAATAGCCCTTTGGCCAGTCTGGGTCAGCTGTCCTGGCTGTGCCCCCTCCCAGCTTCTTGCTGGCAGAGCATGAAAGCTGAAAAGTCCTTGACTAGTGTAAGCACTACTTAGCAACAACTAAAACATCAGTGTGTTATCAACATTGTTCTCATACTAAATCCAAAACACAGCACTGTACCAGCTACTAGGAAGAAAATTAACTCTATCCCAGCTGAAATCAGGACACTGGGGAGCAGGGGGAAGAAGGGATTTACCTACAACTCCCATTAATGCTAATGTTACATTTAAAACCCAATCATAGCAATGAGTAAATAAAAGACTCATGTACAAAATAATTCACATCCGCAAAGAACAAATATCTCAAATATCCTTCAATTTCTATCAGATTTGGAGAAAACATCAAGCACAACAGGGTATAAATGCCCCAAAGGAAAAAAGAAAGGCATTTAACCTCCCTCAGTCTCACCTTGTTCAATACGTGTGGCCAGATATAATATTTCTCCCTGAGCAGCCAGCTGATGAACTGATAAAGCTGCAAAAAGGGAAGCAAAAGCATGTGATAAGCACATCAGTTTCCATTCTGCTTTATTTGGAGCTGGACACAACATGTCCACTGGCTTGAGCTGTACAGAACTTGGATTTGAGAGTGTAGACAGATTTCACCTTATACTCTGAAATGAAATCACCATCTTAAAAACTGAAAAGTTTCCAAAGAGTTTCATAGGTTTTGGTAATTTTTTAATCAATGTATAAATCATACTAGAAAGCAAAGATACATCCTACACTGACTCTTTTACAAGGCAGCATGCTGTCTTCTCTGCTGTTTGGTCAGCAACCCAAGATCACATTAAGAATGTTTATCAAAAAATGCTTATTTTCATTTGATAAATTAAGGCTGTGTAGTTTAAAAATGACATTTATAACGTGAAGAGATCACATGCTATCAGGAGACCTGTCATGCTGCTCAATGAAGCCCCTAGCATGACTCTCACTCACTACAATGTGGAACAGATCAGACATTACAAAACTATATACATGACATCTACAGGAGAAGAAAAAGGTTATGGTTTTTTCATTTTTAATAAAAAGTACCAAGCATTAAAAGCAGCATAATTCTTAAGGAGTTATGAAGAAAAAAAAATCTCTGATCCCACAGTAAACTCTGCATAGGTGCATGGTTTTGATAATTACAACTTGGGGCAGGTCTGAAAGGTGCTCAGGAGGGAATATATAATAAATTATCCAATTTGTATAATAAGACAATTAGCTAATGATTACATGTAAATGTTCACTGTCCTCTTCCTACTCACTACATGGAAGTTTGAATTTTTTTTTCAGAAAAAGTATTTTGTTCAAAGGCTTGCAGTGCAGTTCCAGATTAATTTTTCTCATGCAAACAGTTTTTTGGTTTTTGTTTTCTTTTTAAGCATTGGACTTGTTTAAGATGAGATGCACACTCAAAATTTAAAAGTAATTTATAGAGGAAGTAAGTTTATAGATGAAGTAGTACCATTTGCAGTAGTCTGTAGCACTTACCAATCATCTAATTTCAATAAATTTTACAAGCTACACAAGTTCTGAAAACAATTATATCAAGCATATTAACTTAAAGCTTAGAAAGGATCAGAAAAATCTTTATCTCTGGTTTTTAAATCAATAATTAGATCCTTTCTGGAAAATAACGCTTCAGTCATGAATTCAATACAGCAGGTGGATTACTATTTTATGGTTGGAACCATGTGAAATTAGACAAGATTATCTCAATGTTTTCTTCCCATATTTAAGTTCATTACAAGACCAAAGAAAAATAGGAAAAATCTGGCATCTAACTTACAGTTCACAAAATAATTATTAACAGTAAGGCAGAAGGATACTTACAGTTTACAAGCAGAGGTGTTGCAGAGACTTCGTTTGTTAGTTAGGGTAGTTGACTGTTTTATTGGTGAGAAATGCTTAGTAGCTGATGGAGTATAAACATGTCTGTCTTGGATACCAGGGGAAGGAGAAGTATGGATGTTGCATTCAGCTACATTGAACAGAGAAAATAGACAGCATTTCAGCACTAGTAAGAGCATTAAGAGAAAGTCACAGCTTCTAAGTCAAACTAGAAAGCACCAGTGTCACAAGATCTTTAAAACCCATGTTAAGTAAGCTTTGTGAGACATGCTTTTTCCACACTGTTTTGTGCAAGTTGAAGAAAGGGCTGTATTAGTTTCTTGCATAAAACAATGCTGCTATCCCACACATTCAGTATTGTGTAATGTCACCCAGAGACAAGTTGGTATCTAAATGAGGTAAACCTTTGTCTAGACTTTCAACATGCCTGGCATGGATTTATCAGATAGGACAGCTCCACTTGGCCTGTAATATCCTTACTAACACTCTCCAGTGCAATGAACTTGATGCAGCCCTAGGCAGCCATGCAGTCAGGTAACCGCATCCCTTTGCCTACTCCCTAACCAGTCCACTACATGGGACCTTCACCAAATTTCTTCACCAGGACTTTTTCTACTCCTGTTGGATAAAATTGTAACTGCATTATGACTGCCTTATGAATATTTATCCAGCAGGAACAGAGATATTTCACACTAACTAACTTACAGAAAATGCAACAGCAGGTCACCACTTAGAATTCAAGAAGTCACTCAGTACTACTGTGTTTATTTGTACTAACTTTTCTAGCTCTCTATTAGAATTTAATGATATTTTATTACAGAATATATATGTTATCTTGGCTTCTAATTCTCACAAGTAGCTTTTGGTTTTGAGAAGTAGCTGACAAGCCAAATAATTTTTAAGCAGCCAACTGATTAAATACTGGAAAGACATATTGAAGGATTAAACTTCATTATTGGCTAAATTGATTTGACACCAGTGTGCACTAGTAATTAATGACTGGAAGCTAATTAACATGCACACTGAATTCACACTATAGAGAACTTCATGATCATAAACCCAAGCACAAATTTGGAGAACCAATTAAATGAAGTACAGGGCAACAGGATGAAAACAAAATTACATTTTGTTTGCTAATCAAATAGCTACAGCTGACGTTATCAAATTAAGAGGCCTACCAGGGATTTTCAGCCTGTGGTCCCTGGATCCGCAGGACTACTTCTAAGGGGTTCACAAATGTTACCTAAGAAAAACAACCCTATTGCCGATGGGTCTAAATTTGCCATTCAGGTCTGCAGCTCCACTAGAAAGCACTTAGGGCCTGCAAATCAAAAAAGTTTGAAAATTACAATGGCTGAACTGCAGCCAAATAATACAAATCAGAGAAATCATCGAAATCCACAATAGGTCTGTGTTTGTTATAGGAAATGGGTCAAATTCAACATCATGAGAAGATACATTACTAATAGTCTGAAATATTACAGCAAGCACTGAAAACCACAATTATTAAGGGGAAACAGATAGAAGTTCTAATTCTGTTCTCTATCGATATGCTCAGCCATGAAAAAGCATGGATCAGTTCTGATGAAGCTGCACAGCAATGGCTAGAGATTAGCTGCAGGGGTCAGTTTACAGAATTGCAACAACATACACTTTCAAATAGTGTGAAATTGAATCGGTGAGACAATTGCTACAATGACTACAGGCTTTGTGCAGCCATATTGATAAAACAAAGTCAACTGCATGACCTATGTTATTTTGTCATCATACTAGTGAAAAGATAAAACATGATCCAAAAAACTATTGAAGTTGAAATGATAACATAGTGCTTTCAGTAATGTTCTGTAAAGACACATACATTCAACAATGTGTAGCACATTGTAGGACTTTATAAGAGATTTCGCTACCAAAAGAAGTAAGCTTGTTTTCATAATCAGCATCAGATCTTATGAAATTAAAGGCTTTTTGTGCCACTACTTTTTCAATTAAAAAATAATTAAAAATGTGATAAAAAAATAATCTTGGGGAAATTAATTTTACATTAATAATCTTTTAAGCAGATGATAATAAAAATGCTAGGGGAACAAATCTTAGAAAACTATTACTGATTAACACACATATATGGCAGAGTTTGTTTTTTTTTTTAAACATAACAGCTTAACAGGATGAGACAGTCCATACATAACAATTTGAACCATAAAGTTCAACCTTTAAATAAGACAGATGCCACTTCAAGGTCAGAGTTAACTTGGTCTTGAATATTTTTACTGTCCTCCTCATTTAAAGATTTCACAAATCGTGAGCAGACATTCATATCAAATCTATTGGGCAAAATGAATTTCATTCCCATGGTGACACTCTGAGCTGGGCCTTCCTCTGTGCTAGAGTCAAGCTGATGCTCCACCTTAATGTCTGGCATGGGCAGAAGGCTGTAGCTAGTGGTACATTCTTCTATAATTAACTGGGCCCCAATATCTAAGTTTGTTGAAGATGCCATGGCTTCAGTCATGTAAAAGTTTTATGCAAAATATATCTTCATAGTTTCTAGCCGAGAGCAGTTCTGGCCCAAAAAAAGCCATATCCAAAGATATCCAGATGTTTGAACAACCTGTAATTGAACACATGTAACAACATTCTTGTGAAGTAATGCATAAAAAATGCACCAAACTTGCTTCATTTAAGTTCATGGCATTTGTTTTTGGTAGTTTAAACCTTGGTGAAGTATCTACTACTACTGCCACAAGCTATTGACTATCTTTTGTTTAAATTTTATCACATGGATACTTAAGCCAAATTCCCTAATGAAGTCAGTAGGAGTTTCATCTAAGCAATATTTTAGAATATTAGTCTGGTTGAAACAAAAAAAAAAAACCAAACAACCACATTTATACCAAGAACAGGAACAAGCTATAAGGAGAAGATGACTTTATTGCCTAAAAACCATTAGACTTGAAGGAAAAGTTAAAGTGTTGTTATGTCCCTTTATGACTCTAAGTCTTTTCATAACCTGAGTAAAATAAATGGCTCCTACTATACACGTAGGAAAATGGTAAGTCCTTTTAGACCGAAGACAGGAAAACAGCCCAGAGTACCCGGAACTTTTTGACACCGCTGATGGAGGTCTAACATCAGGCCAGGCTCCACAGCAGCGCCTAGCAGACAGAACGACTTGGAAGCCCCAGAGAAGTCCTAGAGCCTGTCCGCCCACCTTCCTTCTGTCTCTGTACTGCAGACCGCCGGCTCCAGGAGGAAAAGCCCGAAGGAGAGCTACGACAGTGATGCCCTCCACAGACGCTGTAGAGCATTCTCCTCCCCCCCGCCCCCGGGGCGGGGCAGGATACCTGGGAACCCCTCCCGCAGGCCCCAAGCAGGCCTACAGCTTCACTCTCTGCAGATCCACCTCACCTTAGCGCTGTCGTTACTGCTGTTGACAGTGAGAGGGAAATAACGCACTACCACCCCGTCGCTGTTTGTGAGGCGGTAGGATGTCACTTCCCTTGCTGCGGTTGCAATTGGACGAGCGGAGTTGCGTCTTGACGTGCAGCTCTCACCAGCACGCTAGCTCTCCCCAAGGCAAGCGCGGGGCTCGCCGTGGTGGTGGGATATAGCGTGGCCCTTGCTCCCTGAGGTGGCGCGAATCGGTTCGACCTGTCTGGCCCTCCTAGAGAGCTGCCCATGTGGCTGGGCCCGCAGGCGGGAGCACGGCTCGGCGGCGGCCGCGG